TCACCATGATATCTATTTCTGCGAATATCTTTAAAACTCAGCAAGTTTCTTTGAGATTTTGAAGAGTATAATGCATCATCAATGCAAAATTTTATCCCTCCTGGGAGAATAATATTTGCTCTTCCCGAGCCTTCAATTAATTTGTACTACCGGATATAGCACTAACATGAGTTTCTTTCATTACAATGTATGAAAAATATTTGTTTTCTTTAAGGATAGAGTGCGTAGTTACACTGTCTGCCAGAAACATTTCTTTGCCATTGACCATTGAAACGTCCATTTTTTCTTCAAAAATGAAATCAAAATTTCTAATGAGAAATTGCATTTTTTTATTATAATATTTCATCTATCAAATTATAAAGGATTTTAAGATATAAAATATCAAATATAATTCATTATATAAAACAGTAATATAATCCATTATATTATCATTCATTACAAAGAAATAATAGAAACAATTTTAATTTAACACATCAAATGAAAATTAATTATACTTAAAGTATAGAATATAAAACTACTCTTGGGTATTTTTGTCATTAGCCATCTGAATAGTTTCTCCTTCAGGGTGATTGACAAAGAAATCGGTAATATCCAAAGAAGTAAAATCAACAGAACCATTGTCAGGACTATGGTTAAATCCAACATTATTGCCAAAAAAATTAGTTTCTAGCCTCTTTTCTTGTTTCTTTATTGATTCTTGATAGAGATCGACAAGATGCTTAGGTGTACGACAAACACGAGACAATGGTTATTCATGCGACAACGGAAGCATTTGCTCTCGCCTTTCTTTTTATTTCCATCTTTCTCACTACTAGTTCCCAATTTCTGGTGGAAAGTAGTATTTTTATTTTGACCACCATGACCGTTAAAACGGTTTTTACCGTATCCTCGGCCACGACCACGGCTACCATGCCCTCTATTTTGTCCATTATTTGGATTTATAGTTGTCGCATTTGTTTCAGGAAATGGGGCAGTACCAGTTGGGCGAGTTTGATGGTTTTTCAGTAAAAGTTCATTATTTTGCTCAGCAACGAGCAGAACCTGAATCAATTCAGAATACTTTGTGTAACCCCCTTTTGACAATGTTGCTGCATCAGGAGCACATTTGTGGGGTGAAAAGTGGTATATGTTTTTTCGAGCATTAGTGTATCACTCATTTTATCACCCCATAATTTCAAAAGTGATGTGATTCGAAAAACTGCTGAATTGTACTCACTAAAAGTTTTGAAATCTTGGAAACGTAAGTGCATCCAATCATGACGAGCTTTTGGTAGCATAACCATCTTTAGGTAGTTATATATTTCATTCAAACTCATCCATAAGACAAATGGATCTTCAACGGTTAAATATTCAATTTTTAACTGTTCATAAAGGTGGCATCGAAGGAAAATTATGGCCTTGGTCTTTTCTTGATTTGTGGCCTTGTTGCCTTCTTTGATAGTTTCTCTAAGTCCATTAGTATTTAGATGCATTTTGGCATCAAGCACCCATGATAGATAATTTTTTCCGGAAACATCAAGAGCTATGAACTCAAGTTTTGCAAGGTTGTTGGCCATGATATAAAAATAGAGTAAGCTTTTAGAACTTACCCAGAAAAAGGACTTAAAAAATTTGTTAGAGCACTTTCATGCTGATAACGTATTTAAAAGAAAATGCAAAACAAAGCAAATGGAGAAGAGAGGAATAGTTGTAAGACTTTTGGGTATGTCTTCTCCATTTATTTTGCCTCTATTTATAGGCTCATGATCACCTTAAGATATACTCCCTCCATTCCAATTCAATAGGCTCACTTATTCTTTTGGGATGTTTTAAAACTTAGTCCCACTTCAGACAATTAATTAAATTTTAATATAAACTCTATAATATACCCTTTCTACTTTCACTGAAATCAAGAACATTTATTAATTTTAACAAATCAGCCCATATCTGGCCCAGTCCCCTAAAACAGGCCGATCCCCCTTCTGTCTTCAGTTTCTCAGGCCAGCTATTGCTCCCCAGCTTATATTTCGCCCTCAATGCTCTGGCCCAGTATGAATCTGGCTGGGCCATAAGTAGCCTTGAGCCTCACACAGTTTCTTATCTGGTGGATCTGATCTATAGTTAGGGGACAAGTCAATAAGACTTATGCTATTGCTCTACAACCTTTATTAACCTGCTTCTCTCCTTCTTAGTTAAGCGACTTCTCTGCTAAGAAATATACCCTAATCACCTAGATGTCGGCTCTTCGCCACCTGGGGTTGTAGTATGTTCCAAGGGTTGGGCTGTTCGCTCAAAGCGGTATGTGAGCTGGGTTCAGAACGTCGTGAGACAGTTCGGTCCATATCCGGTGTGGGCGTTAGAGTATTGAGAGGACCTTTCCCTAGTACGAGAGGACCGGGAAGGACGCACCTCTGGTGTACCAGTTATCGTGCCCACGATAAACGCTGGGTAGCCAAGTGCGGAGCGGATAACTGCTGAAAGCATCTAAGTAGTAAGCCCACCCAAGATGAGTGCTCTCCTATTCCGACTTCCCCAAAGCCTTCGGTAGCACAACCGAGACAGCGACGGGTTCTCTGCCCCTGCGGGGATGGAGCGACAGAAGTTTTGAGAATTCAAGAGAAGGTCACGGCGAGACGAGCCGTTTATCATTATGATAGGTGTCAAGTGGGAGTGCAGTGATGTATGCAGTTGAGGCATCCTAACAGACCGGTAGACTTGAACCTTGTTCCTACATGACCTGATCAATTCGATCAGGCACTCGCATCTATTTTCATTGCTCAATTACTCTCTCATATCAACCAATAACTCACTAGTCATTAATAGGGATGTAGTAGGAATTTCATTTAAAATTAACCACATAAATTACATTACCCACTTTTTCTTAATCTCCGTGTATGTCTAAATGAGCCTATTGAATTGGAATGGAGGGAGTAGATTACATTAACTCCATACTTACTCCATACTGTTTGGTTTGTTTTTTGGTTGTTTTTTTCATAATTATTAATTAATATCAATCCCATCTCATCATACCTTTTTACATTTTCAATACACCTTTTTACATTTTCAATATACTTTTTAACATTCCCAATATAAAAAAATACACTTAAAAAACGATCTAAACATAGTGAATTACAGAGTTATGGAGATGTAAATGAAAGATAAAATATTAAGACAACTTAATACAACATCCATCATTAATATACTCCTTCCATTCCAAAATTATTGTCCAATTTGAGATTTTACTTTAATACAATTTGAACTAAAAATTGAAATCCAAAATGGACAATAATTATAGGACGGAGGGAGCACTTCATAACAAATTCACAATATTTTCTCCTGTAGATCTTGTTCTTGCTGTCTATAAACTTTTCAGATATAATACACAAAAGAAAGCCCAGTATTTCTTTGATAAAAAGAGCCCAGAACTACTTTAATAAAATGATCCCCAACTGTTAATTGGTCTTCTAATCTTCTTCCCAAATCGGGAACAACTCTTTCCCCCACACCACTCCCACTCTCCCGGCATAACTTTCTTCTTCATCTCCGTTCCTTCTTCTCCTTTGATTCGTTTTTTTCTTTCCCAATCCTTCCAATTTAGTCAACGGATCTGGAATTTGGTCTAGGAGTCCGTACAGGTATTCTGTGTCGGTATCCATGTCCGACCGTGTCGTGTCGGATATAAGCCAACAGAGTGGTGAGTCCAGGTAAGCTTAGGCGCCTTGCCAATGTCAGCCGATAGTACGATATTATTGAACAATATCATTTTTGCATTGTGAAAGCCTTATAGGGTGTCTAGTTATTTTTGATGCTAATGGACTTTTTCTGGTTCGTCTTTTATTAGACGATGAGGATAAAAGTTCATTCATCTGAACTTGTTCTAACCGCCTCTGATTTCCTTGCACGTGATTGTGGAGTTGAATTGTTGTCAATCTGATATATGCTAGTTGTAGAATTTAAACTTGCTGCCTTAATTTGGATTCAAATCGTTTCTTCTGTATCATTTGTGAGTTTTGATCTTTTAAATTGTCACACTTCTTGAAGTAATAGAACGTAAAAAGCTTAATCTAAATCTTTAAAAGGAATAGAACAGTGTTTGGAAAGCCAGGACGGTTTGACAGCCATTTAGTGATTCTGGTTTGTTACTATAAATTCAACTTTTCTGCTGATGTAAGAGATTTGACAAGTTCCAGCGGTTGAAAGTATTTGTCTACATTTCGTAGTTCGTACACCCCATGTTGTCGTGTTCAACTTTTATTGCATTGTTTTACGTAATAGCGGAATTGAAATAAACAAAATGTGTCAAGTCGAATGAACTTCCATATCTTTTGTGGTGTACAATTGTCGTGTCGTATTTAGGGATCTAGTTTACACGTTGATTTTTGTCTTATAAATTTCAGTTTTTTTTTTTTTTTAAATACTTAGTTCATGTAGCCAAAATGTTTTCAACTGGTTGAATGAACTGTACATTGAATATTTTCTTTTGTCTCCCAGAAATGGTTCTGTTGTGACTATTTACCAGAGCTAAAGGATTGCGTCTTTGATTATAAAGGGCGTGTTATGCATGGAGAATCATTTTATACTCTTGTGAACTGCTTTGGCTATGGTTAACAATTTCATGAAGTGGTTGGTGAGAACTTAGAGGGCTGAAGAATCCAGGGTATGTTCTCTATTATCTAATATATATTTGTCACTTTCTTATGTCTTTTCTTGTTTCCACATAAAATGTCATTCCAAAGAACACCTTGTTAGCCAAATTAACTTGTTTAGATAGATCAGCATGCCTGTAGCCTAGTCATTGTTGTTTGATGTCTTTCTGACATCTTTAGCTTTCAGTTTGTGCCCCTATAGTCTGAAGTTCTCTTCCCATATGATGTATTCAGGCTTTTTGTTCTGATTAGTGTCTTTTCATTAAATAGAAGAGAATAGAAAATGCAAATATTAACAAGAGTCCGTAAACATTATTATGAAAAAGAGTTAATTCGGATAATGTGTTGACTATCAGTCTCCCTGTTGGGGGGGGCGGAGGGTGTGTCCCGGAAGTTATGTTGGAAGAGATGAGCCAAGTTAGAAGCTTAGAGTGAAACACTAGATCTGAATATTTTACTATAAGTAGGCCTGAAACAAAATAATGGAATGCAATTTTAGTAATCATAGGAGCAATAATGCGGTGCTTATCAAAATAGGTGTGAACAAATTAAATGCATCTAAAATTTTATAGTTAGGATCCATTTTAGAAGAAAATTGGAAAAATGGATTAGGATGTTACATAGAATATATACAGGTTGGACTGTCAGAATGGTGAAGCTTGCCATCGATATTTTGTGACCCTGAATTCTCATTAATGTTGAAAAGAAAATAAATATTGTTGATGTACGACCAGTGCAGATAAAGGTTTTGGGCCACTAAATTTGCAAAATGAGAAAATTAGGTTAAGATGGTTTAGGCCTGGCTTATTTAAATTTAAAGGAAAGCACCCAACCCATATCGTAGGATAAAGGCTTCATCTTGTTGTGTTTGCTACAATTTAGAAGGATATTAGTATCCTTGACAATGATGGTATACACTAGTTTGCTCTTTGTTTGCTGGAATGGCAACAGAGTGCAACTTTAACTGTAGATATTGCATGAGCTAGCTTTCTCTTGATTTACTTTACAAACATATTAGTATCAATTGCTTCACCCGTGGTAAACAGGGAAAAAAATGCTTTGAAAAGATCCATCTAAGGATGGCCATACGAGAGCTTTTGGCCTAAAAATCATGGAAGGGACATTCTACAAAATCACCACGAGCACCCATTAGACTTGAAAATGGACTAGTTTATTTCCCCCCTTCTTTCTATTGTGCACTATGTTTGCCTTTTAACCTCAATAGAACTCTTAATAAATTGTCGAAGAGGAAGAGCAGATTCAGTGTTCCTTAAAGATCTCCTGCACTATACTAAACATAAGTTCATTATATTGGTAGAGAAAAGTAAATCAGAGAAAGAGTTTAACTGCGAGGTTCCAGGTAGGAGACCACCAGGTGACAAAATTAAAAAGAAACTTTAAAAAGGTTCATTGCATAGTTTGAGATGAAATAACTTTATCTTCTTGGCCTCAAGGAAAGGGAAAAATTAAGCAAAAAATGCACAATTCTGAGTTTGCTGCTAATTATTTGGGTCTTGAATCTTTCCAGCTAATTGAAAACTTCTGTTAAGTTTTGCTGCAAAACTTTTCGTATTGCATTTGATATTACCTTCACCTTTCATTACTCCTTGTTTATTACTTGTAACTATGAGCAGCAAAGAAAAAGCTCTATTCAGTTTTGAAATGATTGGCAATTTATTTGCCACAGAAGCACGTTACTTTGCTCTAGTTCTTTCGTTTATTAATTTTATTTCTCGGATTTACTACTTCTCGTGATATATTGGTTGGCATGGGGAACAGAGTTGCAACTAGCATTCCCAGATGAAACAGACCCCAGTAACAACCAAAAACTTAAAAAGTGTATGTGCACGCTTGTGTGTAAGAACTTCAATTTAGGTTTATATGCTTGATTTTCACTTAATGTTTGCTTTTCTGATTCCTCAGGTAATTTCAGCAGCATGGCAACTCCTGTTGAACCACCAAATGGCGTAGGATCCCTCGGGAAGCACTACTTTTCCATGTGGCAATCTCTTTTTGAGATTGATACGAAATATGTACCAATAAAGCCTATCGGTCGAGGTGCTTATGGTATAGTCTGCTCATCAATTAACAGAGAAACCAGTGAGAAGGTTGCAATCAAGAAAATACATAATGTGTTTGAAAATCGTGTTGATGCCTTGAGAACGTTACGTGAACTGAAGCTTCTGCGCCATCTTAGACATGAAAATGTGATTGTCTTGAAAGATGTGATGATGCCAATTCATAGGAGAAGTTTTAAGGATGTCTACTTGGTCTATGAACTCATGGATACAGATTTACACCAAATTGTTAAATCCTCTCAAACTCTTTCAAATGACCACTGCCAGTATTTTCTGTTCCAGGTAAATGTTTGATATCAGTGGTTATTACTTATGTAATTCAGAAATGATGACTATTTGTTAGTCGAGTCATCTGTTTTCTCGTTACTATTTAATAGTGATGCTTGATCATATTTAACAGTGACGTTTCTAAACAGTTTCTTATCCCAATAGAGTTTTCTTTCTTGTTTTAGCTTTGCTTCCCTTATAATATGATTATGTGTGGTCAGAAACTTATACGATTATGAAGTTTACCTTACTCTCAGGCCGAGGAGTAATAATTTTTGCCCCAGTGGGGACTATGGTTATATATGTTGACTTTTTTATGCTTTTCGGTGCTGCTTCATTTGCTTGTCAATTTAATAAATTTCCAGTTTCCCTATGAAGAAGTTGAATAACCCTCAGTTATGAATTCAACTAACCATAAATAAGGTCATAGTTCAAAGGGAATTGAGGTGACTTGCAACCTACCCGCCTGTGATTCAAGAACAATTTTCTTATAATAAACTTTATATTATTATTTTCATGTAAATTAATGTGAAATTGATTTCACTAAGCTTCAGCCTGAGTAGAACAATTTAGTTCAGTAATTGAATATTGTTAGCGGGATTATTAGGATTATTATTAGATTAGATCACTAAGTTTGTGACTACTCTTTTTCTCCCCTTTTTACCGGTTCTTGTGGAAGCAAGTATTGATGTTGTGCTATTGCTTGGAAATTAAGAATATTTTTCTGAAATCTTTCTCTTGTCATCTGCTGTTGACAGTTGCTTCGAGGCTTGAAATATCTCCACTCTGCAAACATCCTTCATCGTGATCTGAAGCCTGGAAACTTACTTGTCAATGCAAATTGTGATCTTAAGATATGTGATTTCGGTCTTGCACGTACAAACAGTGACAAAGGGCAGTTCATGACAGAATATGTAGTTACTCGTTGGTACCGGGCCCCAGAGCTCCTACTTTGCTGTGACAATTACGGCACCTCCATTGATGTCTGGTCTGTTGGTTGTATTTTCGCAGAACTCCTTGGAAGGAAACCTATCTTTCCAGGGACCGAGTGCCTTGATCAACTCAGGTTGATTATAAACATCCTTGGTAGCCAAAAGGAACAGGATCTTGAATTTATTGATAACCCAAAGGCAAGAAAGTACATCCGTACACTTCCATATTCCCCAGGGACCCCTTTTACACGCATTTATCCTAATGCTCATCCTCTGGCCGTGGATCTTCTGCAAAAGATGCTGGTATTTGATCCAACCAAAAGGATTAGTGTGAGCGAAGCACTTCAGCACCCGTACATGGCTCCCCTCTACGATCCAACTTGTGACCCTCCAGCCCAAGTACCAATCAATCTTGACATAGATGAAGATCTAGGGGAGGACACAATAAGGGAAATGATGTGGACCGAAATTCTGAACTACCACCCTGAAGCCACCGAACTAGTTGATATGGAGGTTGGTGACCAAATTTAATCTGATCTCCATTGCCGCAAGCAGGTCTTGGTAGTTTCTTTGTTGTAAAACTAGAATGTTAGTTTCCGTTTATTATTTCTTCCTTCATGCAAATAAACCCAAGGAATCGCATCCGCATTTTGAGCTCTGATGCTTGGATATCCTACAATATGCGCATCTTTTTTTGTACATAAGGTGTATGTTTGTGATGCACATCTGACATCTGTTATAACTCACAAAATGTTGTTGTACATTAATTCTGGGCCCAAGTGCAGCCATCTATTCTATGCGCTGATGTAGTCGTATCAAGGTTCCATAAGCTGAGTTACTTTAAAAGCATTACTGGTCATGGAGATGTTTAACAAAGATAATATATGAGCATGATTCTAATGTGATGGAGATGTTGATGATTGTGACTGGCCATGTTTTAATCTACTTGTTTCATTTTCCCTTGTGAAGAATGTTCATCACATTTTTCTTTGAGGAGCATCGATATAGTATTCCTTCAATCCTTATTGTAAAACACAAAACTAAAATCAGGGGGAGTACTTAAATTATGAATATTTTAATAATATGAATTTAAATATTATAAAATTATAATAATTTCATTTCGCACTAAATGCTTACCCCGAGCACTGTCTATGTAAATAAAGAAAACAAATATTCCGAATAAATATCCTTTATATAATATAACATATCGAACGAGAACACAGTAACGGGTCGTAGCCCGGGAACTGGTTTAACACAATATATTATTTTTTAGTGTCTTAATCCGAACTATTCCAGGAGCTCAGCTTAAAAAATTAGTATGTATTTGAGAAAAAAAAAAAAAAAACCTACAAATGAAGAGCATAGAGTAAGTAATTTTCAGCATTCACTTCTGGGTTAATATTAAAACTTTATTGTCTCGAAAAAACATCTCATTGTGTAAAAACTGTAGTGTCTCAGCCCGGTGATGGACCAACTGACAAACACTTTATCATATTCTAGTGAATTTCAAATAATTTTGTACTTTTCCATTAATATTAATAAGATAAATATATTAATCAGTGCATAATAAAGTTCGAAGGGGATCAAAGACAAAAGAATTTGAGTGGCCAAAACAATTATTAACAAACTGCCAAAAAGTAAAAAAATTTTGGGTGGGTTAAAAATCAAGTCTTTAACACAGTAAGCATTGCTTATACAAATTTTATATTCGTATGAATCAAAAGTTGGTTAAAATTTTCTTCCTTTTCCTGCATATGAACAATCCAACATTTTATTAAGCTTCATTTGCAAATTACCAGAAAAACATAAAGGCCCGTAGCTACGATTTTTTCTTTCGATTCTCCCTGCAATTGTAACTTCTTCCCCGAATTCTTGATTATGATTTTTTTTTATTATGACGATAACATGGCTATGAATGGGTAAGTTTGATTTTCAATTAATGATTACATAAATTACTTTGGGTGATAAGTGCATGATTTGATTGCTTTGTTTTCCAGTTGATGACAACTCTGGCTAATTTGTAGGGATTTGAATCAATGTGCGTTACCATTGCTAAAAGGAGTCATACTTACCTTCTTAACCAAATTATTTATTTGACGTTTGAGTTAATCTAAATAAATGATTTAAGGGGATTATCTGACATTTGATTTTATCAACTCAATGTTGTTTTAATTTTTAATGGATTAGTATATAGCTATAATTAACAGATTAGTATGTAGCTATAGTGAAGGGATTTCTTTTGATTATATATTCCATCCTTATTTTCTGAATAGTTAGAGTGTCACATGTCAAAGATAATTTTGTACTAAAAATAGCCCTTGGAAGGAAAATTTTCATTGTGGTAGTGACACTTCAGCAACTTCTATGCTGCTTTAATTAAGTAATAAATATGTAAGGAAATTCTAGAGTACAGTTTCTTTTTTTTTGTCGTTGTTTTAATCCTAGTGTTTTAATTCAATTAAATGGAATTTTCCACCCTCAATATAGATCCTGGTTGGATTCTTTACTAAGTTAATATAGTGCGCTAACAGAACCACAAGCTGAGTTCAAAAGCATTAATGGTCATGGAGATGTTTAACAAAGATAATATGTGAGCATGACTCTAATGTGATGGAGATGTTGATGATTGTGACTGGTCATGTTTTAATCGACTTGTTTCATTTTCCCTTGTGTAGAATGTTCATCACGTTTTTCTTTGGGGAGCATCGATATAGTATTCCTTCAATCCTTATTGTAAAACACAAAACTAAAACCAGGGGAGTACTTAAATTATGAATATTTTAATAATATGAATTTAAGTATTATAATAATTTCATTTTGCACTAAATGCTTGCCCCGGGCATCGTCTATGTAAATAAAGAAAACAAATGTTCTGAAAAAGAATAAATATCCTTTATATAATATAGCATATCGAATGGGAACACAGTAACGGGTCGTAGCCCGGGAACTGTTTTAACACAATATATTATTTTTTAATGTCTTAATCCGAACTATTACAGGAGCTCAGCTTAAAAAATTAGTATGTATTTGAGAAAAAAAAACACCTACGAATGAAGAGCATAGACTAAGTAATTTTCAACATTCATTCTGAGTTAATATTTTAAGTTTATTGTCTCGAAAAAACATCTCATTGTGTAAAAACTGTAGTGTCTCAGCCCGCCGATGGCCCGACCAACAAACACTTTATCATATTCTAGTGAATTTCAAATAATTTTGTACTTTTCTATTAATATTAATAAGATAAATATATTAATCAGTGCATAATAAAGTTCGAAGGGGATCAAAGACAAAAGAATTTGAGTGGTCAAATCAATTATTAACGAACTGTCAAAAAGTGAAAAAATTTTGGGTGGGTTAAAAATCAAGTCTTTAACACAGTAAGCATTGCTTATACAAATTTTTATATTCGTATGAATCAAAAGTTGGTTAAAATTTTCTTCCTCTTCCTGCATATGAAATATCCAACATTTTATTAAGTTTCATTTCCAAATTATCGGAAAAACATAAAGGCCCGTAGTTACGATTTTTTCTTTCGATTCTCCCTGCAATTGTAACTTCTTCCCCGAATTCTTGATTATGATTTTTTTTTTTTATTATGACGATAACATGGCTATGAATGGGTAAGTTTAATTTTCAATTAATGATTACATAAATTACTTTGGGTGATAAGTGAATGATTTGATTGCTTTGTTTTCCAGTTGATGACGACTCTGGTTAATTTGTAGGGATTTGAATCAATGTGCGTTACCATTGCTAAAAGGAGGCATACTTACCTTCTTAACCAAATTATTTATTTGACATTTGAGTTAATCTAAATAAATGATTTAAGGGGATTATCTGACATTTGATTTTATGAACTCAATGTTGTTTTAATTTTTAATGGATTAGTATATAGCTATAATTAACGGATTAGTAAGTAGCTATAGTGAAGGGATTTTTTTGATTATATATTCCATCCTTATTTTTTGAATAGTTAGAGTGTCACATGTCAAAAATAATTTTATACTAAAAATAGCCTTTGGAGGGAAAATTTTCATTGTGGTAGTGACACTTCAGCAACTTCTATGCTGCTTTAATTAAGTAATAAATATATAAGGAAATTCTAGAGTCCAGTTGCTTTTTTTTTATTGAACCGTCTCGTTAAAATTCAACCAATCATGATTGAGGACATAACATGTGTTCATGAGGTGAGAAACATCGTAACATGTCCGAATAATTTTTTAAAAAATAATTAATTTTTGATAATTTTTTAAAAATAATTAAAGATGGTGACAATGATGTGAAACTAACATAATCCCCTATTCGTAAGAAGGATTACAGAAACAATACTGATAAATTAGAATTTATGATATGACAAACTTTGTGAAAATCAAATTTTTTATTTTTTTTTAGGGGCAGGGGCAAAGAAAGATTGGATCACTGATTTTGGTTAATGAATTTTGGGAGAAGAAGGGCGGCGGGATGACGGAGGTGGGTTATCGGCAGCAGTGCGGGAAAATACCCTTAATTTTCTTTCCAAACTCTAACAGCTCCTCTATGGTCGCCCTGGCCTTCTCCGGCTCATCTGCACAAGCCGACAACCAAGGATTCACCTTCATTGATGCCAACCCATTTTTTCCTAAATCATACTTCAAAATCCCATCTTGAACCTTGTGATTAAACACATGGATTCTCGTCCCTGTGCTCCCACCATCGATCCCAATCCCATAGTACTTCTGATGATCATAACCTCGATCACTACTACTGTTAGGAAAGAACAATATATAATACATAATCACAGCGACAAATGGAATCGCATTGTAGATTAAAATGTAAGGCTTGATTTGGTGTTTTGCTTATATGGGAACTTGTATCCGATTGGTTAGACCAGAATTGAAGCTTCATCGGATCCATCTTGCCCAGCTTTTCGTAAATGTTATCAAAAAATTTACTGTACGCTTTTGATTTTGGTTATCGTTTAGAGAGTTGATTAAAGCAGTGAATAAAAAAAAATTTTAAAAGAAAGAAAACTTCATTATGATTGCTGGAAATCAGCTAGCTCCGACTGATACAAACCGTCCAACAACGGCTGACGAAAGAATACAATCACTAAACTCTTACAACTGGAAATACAAAATAAAACTTCCACCAACCAGTTGCTATTCCTGGGTAGAAAGATCCTCCAACGACATGATTCTATTGTTGGACATACAACGGAACAGATTAAAAATCTGAACTCGAGTAGGTCACTAACCATTGGATTAAAACTCCAATTAGCAAATCTGAATAACAGATTCACTGTGATTGAAAATTCTCGGGTCAAACTAGCCGTCATTAAAGACGACATGCGGCAATCAACAGATCAAACATGATCTACTGAGCCACACAAGACAAACAACAGACCTGATTCTGTTAGCGCACTATTTTTTTTTGGTGGTTCTGTTAGCGCACTATATTCACTCCGTAAAGAATCAAACCAGGATCTATATTGAGGGTGGGAAATTCCATTTGATTGAATTAAAACACTAGGATTAAAACAACAACAAAAAAATTAAACAGAAAACACAACATCGGTCATTGATCTGATAAACAGATCAGACCAACAGATCGCATCCGTGATACTGACGGAGAATTAACCAGAACTCTCATTTCTCGGAGATTCTGACATCAGAGTTTCGAAGCGTTGGAGTTGATGTTGATCATAAGGACAGTTGGTGCGGAGGCTTCACTGATGGTGGATGGATGTGTGTTATTTTATTTTTTCCGGTGGATAGAAAGAAAGCAAATATTTTACTCGCCTAACCACCGTTAATAGATATTGGGAGAGGGGGCGGTGGAGATTTTTGTTTTTACGAGAGAAGGGGGTGGTTTCTTTTTCTCAGGAGAGAGGAGAGAGAAGTGTAGATACTAGTTTTTTTTTCCTTGTTCTTTAA